CCCCCCCCCCCCCCCAAAAAAAAAATGACATATATCTCTGCCACATACCAAGACACTAATTTGATTACTTTATGTAGCTTATATCAGGAGATTAGTACTCAGCACAAAAAGAAAATTGCAGTTATATCAGCTTACAACAACAATAACAGCAACAACAACAACCACCCAGTAGAATCCCACTAGTGGGGTCTGGGGAGGGTAGAGTGTACGCAGACCTTACACCTACCCTGGAGGGATAGAGAGGCTGTTTCCGGGAGACCCTCGGCTCGGAGACAATATGCAGTTATATCAGCTTATCCTTAAGAAAATTGTAGTACACACTGTAGACAGCAGTAATTTACCTTCTCCTGTTTGCCATGCATTTAAGGGCGGAAAAGACTCAGTTCGCTGGAGCCAGTCCATAATAGCCTCTTGTACTTCACAACATTCAGAAGAAGCAGACTGCATGTTTGCATTGTCTTTGTCAAATGGAAAACTCAGCGGTCGAATGATTACACTCATAACTGAAGGAAATATCCTCAAACAATTTATATTTATTGTTTCCCCAATATGGAGTTTATTCTGAAGCAGATAAAAAAGAAATATTGCCTTGTCCTTTCCCCATACATCATCCATAAAAAGTCTAGACAGTAATGATACAACAGCTCTCAGGAAGGGTTCTCCAATACTATCCATATTTGTAACAGGAGGTAAGTTTGAAAGGCTCAGTTCAGTAATTCCCCCATGAATAAGTGCACCATCAAGTAAAATGGTGACAATGGAATCTAACAACTCATCCTCAGGCGTATAGCATTCACTATTCAAATAATCACAGAGATGAGGCAAGAACGAGCACAAGGCACTTCCACCATTCCATTTCCAAGTGCATAAGATTTCAGCTGCTAGCCAGGCACGCGAATAATGACACTGAAGAGTTGTGGTAGGTTGATTACTAGGATCCTCAGTTGAAGATGGAGACACATCAGAAACAACACCAGCAATAATTTTGTCAAACCCCATCTTTGGAATAAGTCTGTCTATCAGAGCAACAAACCTGGTGTCTCTTGGGGTCTGCAAAGGGTGAAGTACACAGAATATTTTGAGATCTCATAATACAGATTTTATGTTGAATGCATAATACAATGTAACTCACCTTGAAAAAGATCAAAATAATGCCACAGAAAATGTCACAAAACTAAATAGTTGAACGAGAAAGTATACAGGAATATCTATCAGTTACAAGACCTCACTGTAATTCCCTCTTTCCCAGCAAGCTAAATATAGAAGTGAATAGAAAAATAGGTGCACAAGATCATCCCAAACTGCTTAATAAAAAATACTTAAGCGGGAAGAACACTCACATCAGTTGAAACACTCTCAGTTTTCACCACGGCTGCTCTTTTCCCATCTTTCATATCTGGTGCAACCCAAGTAGGCCAAGAATCGTCCTGGCTTAGGAATCTGTCTAACAGCTTTTGTTCCCCAAACTGATCAGGGCAGAGACACTCAAGAAGTTCAAGGACCCAGTGACAGCATAACGATGCGACTTTGGCAGCATCCAAATTTCTATCCTTGAGCACAGCAATCCTCACAGTCTGGACCAAGATACTCTCCAGGCTCTTTCGACTATCTATGTTGATACTAAATAGGAACTGATTATCAATTTTGCGATCGAGAGAATGCACTAGTTCACAAGAGGCCAACCTTGTCTTAATTGTTTCCGCTGTTTCTTCACCAAACTTATCATTGAAGACAGTAGCCATGCGGCACTCCCACTTAATCACAAAAATTGCAGCTAAGATTCGTGAAACGAGCTCAATTTCATGATTCAAACATTTCAATGCACAAAAACCACCATCAAGCACTTGAAAAGCAAAGTTAACCATCTGATTCACATCAGTAGAAGGTTCAAATCCCAGCTCAGTGTTTTTGTCTCTGATAAGTATCAGAGAACACGTTTCCTTGACCCATATGAAGGGAGAATCCATCATGAAAACTGTCAACTTCTTAAGAACCTCCTCGAATACTAGTACTAATGTACTTTGGGACAGAAAATTTGTTTCATCATCTCCTGCTATGCCACCCAGAACAGCACTGCAACGGAACAACAAAGCAGCCCAAAATAAGACAATAATAACAAAAAATTAGGTTTTCAGAGTGTTTAGTGCCTACTAACTCTAGTCTTAAGCAAATGAAACAACACCTCCTTACCACTGAAGCCTTAATATTGAGATGGGAAAACAAAAAACAAGAAAGGCTATAATCATAGGTAATGAGATAGAGAAGATAACCATGTAGTCATCCTAGGGAAAAAAGTCTCTAAACATAAAATGACTGTTCCTGTATCCCATATTGGTTGAGGAAATGGATTGTACTTTCCTTATATGGTAGTGGAAATCCTTAGCTGACAATAGCCTGTGGGTTTGTGTTAACCCAAAATCTATTCCTTATCGCAGTATCAGAGCCACTCATTCCTATTCTCGACGTATCCAATGTTGGGCCCCCATGTTGTATTGTTCATGCTTCAGATGTCCAATCTTAGGCATGTGGAGGGTGTTAGTGCCACATTGGCCTAAGTTTCTCGGAGTTGAGTGCAGGTGTCCAATACGGTTGCGGATATAAAGGTAGCATCCTTCATGATCTAAATTTTAAGATTCGGGGATACGGATGCTCGAATTCAGCTAAATATAATTCAATATCTAAAAATAAAGTTTTGAAAATATGTCTAAATTACGAGGCATTAAGTGGAAAACATACAAGGAACTCTGAAAAGAAGAAAATATTGATCAAGAGAAGAATCCGAGAAGGATATAAAAAGAAAAGGACTGATATAATTCGGGATCGAATCTCAACCTTAACTTTATTGTTTCGTTATAAAAAGAAAAAGAACTAACATAGAAATTTCTTTATACAAGTTATTGCATTTTCTTCAATTTCACCCTAGCTTTTGTTTGATTTCAGAAACTATTATATTTGTCCCGCATTTCTCCGCCGATTTTGGTCAAAGTACCCCAAATCTGTTGACCCTATACGGATCCCACACCCACGTCGTGTCAACACAGGTGCAACATCGAAAGTGAAGAGTCCGAGCAACTTAGGTTTTGGCAAATCATCAGCTCATGAGCTATCTTTGGAATTGAGTTAGGCTCGATATCCATTTTTCTTATCAAGGAGAATCCAAAGATTTGATATGTAGCATAACATTTTGCCTAGATTCAAGATTCAAAAACCTTTGTTAGATAGTTATTATGTATAGTGTCCCACAGCGGAAAGTAAATGTCTACTTCTATGTAAACAATGTATATAAATAGGTCTATTGTAAGACACTTTAGTTAATATCTATCAATAAATTTCCTGTGTCATTATTTCTCACATGGTATCGGAGCAACCGTGAGAGATTCATCGCTGTGCAATAATTACCAGCAATTTCGAGAAGAAGAAATTAGTTAACCGAAAATTTTTCAGCTACCGCAGGTCTATACGCGATCGGTGTGGTGCAAAAACCAGCACCACCACGAGGTAGATCAGCTTCCAGCGACCAATCCGTAAAAATTTCTATGGCAGAACCCCTCTCACGCACCCTCACGCACCGGCAAGAAATTTTTCGACGAGGCTCTGACTCACGCATCAGCTCATGAAGCACTTTCCGGCCGGTTTTTAACAAAATTTCTTCAAGACAATTTGGTCGTCCAGTGATTCCAAGCATACCATACTATTCTTTTTACTCCGATCACTTCGCAATTTTTCCGGCAGCTACAGTGATTTTTTCGTTAGCTATAGTGTTTCCTTTAACTGTTTCAGCGAGTTACAATTGATTGTTTCTATTATTTGGTGATAATTTGCTCGACCTCTTCAATCCAACGCCTTTGGGATTTGATATTTTTGGTTCTAACAACACGGGTTATGGAAGTTCAAGCTTTGTGATTACTTTGGAACCCTTAAAGGAATGTTCATACTACTTAGCTTGGCTTTCTGGTTGAGTTGTGGTGCAAGGGTCAAGGTGTTCAAGACCGCATGACCAAAAAGGCTAATGAGGGAGATGAGAAGGCCAAAGCACTTCAGATATGTCATTTAGTTTGGTAAAAGGCTCGCACGTTATACACTAATGACATATCTCGTTTCTATGATACGATATTGCGGATGACAAGTTTGAAGAAACAGGAATTGGATATGTTTACTTACTTGGGTCAAGTACAGCCAGTCATAGAGGAATTAGAGAAATTGATGCCAATTTCTGCTAGTGTTAAAAAGCAACAACAAGAAGGACAGAAGATGTTACTAGTTCTTACACTCGTTGGACTTCCTAGTGTCCTTGATTCAGTATGCGACCAGATTTTGGCTAACCCGACTGTCCCTACAATTGTTGAATTGTTCTTGCCTTGCTGAAGTACCCAGTCACACAATGATCTCATCACAGACAGTTGACTTCGCTCGCATCACAAACAGTGAAAAATCGGGCACTCTAACTATGGATAATAGACGTGGAGGAGGTCGTTTTGGAAGGTCTCGACCCAAGTGTTCTTATCGTAATAAGCTTGGACACGCCTATGAGGTGTGTTACTCTTTGCGTGGTCGACCACCTAAAAATACTCATGTTGCTCAAATGGGGCTGCAGATAACCAGAGGTTTTCTTTATCTGAACGGGAATATAATGAGTTCTTTTAGTATCGAGCAAGTAAACAGACACCTCCACAAGTAGCCTCTGTTGCTCGGACTCATACTTCTGTTGCTGATAATTTTTTTACTTGTGTTTCCCAATCTACTACTCTTGAACCGTGGGTTATGGACTAAGGTGCCACTTATCATATAATAGGTCACCTTTGTTAAAAATATTGTTTATTTACAATCTCTTCCCAACGTTACTTTAGCCAATGAAGTCCAATCAAAAGCAAAAGGAGTTGGACAAGCTAATCCTTATCCTCTATCACTTTAGATTTTGTTCTTTACGTCCCTGACTGTCCTTTTAACCTTGCATTTGTTAGTCGATTGACTCGTGCCCTCCATTGTTGTACATATTTTATTAATGACTCGTTTGTTATGCAAGACAACAGTACGGTACAGACAATTGGCATAGGGGTGAATCAAACAGCCTTTATTACCTTGACTCACTCAATCCCCACAACATGTCCAGTTATAGATCCTCTAAACCTAATTCACAAACAATTAGGAAATCCGAGTTTATCCAAGCTTCAAAAGATGGTGCCTAGTTTGTCTAGTTTGAATACATTAGATTGTGAGCCATGTCAACTTGTAAAACATACCCGAACAACCTTTCCGCATAGTGTTGAGAGTCGTGTAGAGTATATTTTTTCTTTAGTTAATTCTGATATACGGGGTCCTAGTAGAGTCGGTTCAACCTTAGGATTTTGTTGCTTTGTTAGTTTCATTGGTGATTACTCAAGATGTACTTGGATTTTCCTAATGAAAGATTATGCTAAGTTGTTTTCTATATTCTAGAGTTTTGTACTGAATTGAAAAAAATTAGTTTGGCGTTTCTATTCGCATTTTTCGCATTGATATGCCTTAGAATACTTATCCTCTCAAATTCATCAGTTTATGACTTCTTAAGGAATTATTCATCAGACATCTTGTCCGTATACTCTTCAGCAGAATCAGGTAGCTGAAAGAAAGAATAGGCACCTCATTGAGACTGCTTACACACTTCTCATTGATTCCTATGTTCCACGGCGTTTTGGGAGCAATTCAGTTCTCGCGTCTTGTTATTTGATTAATCGGATGCCTTTTTCTTCAATCCAAAGTCAGATTTCGCATTCATTATTGTTTCCTCAGTCACCTTTATACTCTTTTCCCCTCGTGTTTTTGGGAGCACATGCTCGTTCATAACTTAGATCTCGGAAAAGATAAATTAGCTCCTCGTGCTCTCAAGTATGTCTTCCTTGGTTATTCTCGAGTTCAAAAGGGATATCGTTGCAACTCACCTAATTTTTGTAGGTACCTTATGTCAGCTGATGTCATACTTTTTTAGTCTTGACCTTATTTTACCTCTTCTGACCACCTTGATATATCTCAGATCTTACCTATACCGACTCGTGAGGAGTTTACTGTAGCTCCTCCTGGATCCTCAACCACAAGTCTTACCATACCGACCGTTGAGGAATCCAGTGTTGCTCCTCCTGGATCCTGAACCACAAGTCTTACCGTACCGACCGTTGAGGAATCTAGTGTTGCTCCTAAACATGCCCAGCTGATTCACTCTTAACTTACCGTCATCTCGTCCAGCATCATGCCCAGCTGATTCACGTCCTGCACCCAACCGTGCTTCTACTGCGAACTTGTCTCCTCCTAGTCTACTGATTGCACTTCGTAAAGGTATGCAGTCACACTTAATCCTAATCAACAATATGTTGATGCCATCACTCCATAATTCTTTTATATCTTCTTTGTCCTCTGTTTCCATCGCTAAGTTTACATGTGAAGCATTGTCTCATCCAGGATAGCAACAGGTTATGGTTGATGAGATGTCTGCTTTCCATGTGAGTGGTACTTGGTAACTTGTTCCTCTTCGGGTAATCTACTATTGGTTGTCGTTGGGTTTATGCAGTCAAAGTTGGTCGGATGGCCAGATTGATCGGCTTAAGGCCCGCCTTTTGCCGAAGGGTATACTCAAATATTTGGGCTTGATAACAGTGATACTTTCTTTCCCGTGGCTAAAATAGCATCAGATCATCTCTTTCTATTCATGGTTGTTGTTCGTTATTGGCCCCTCTATCAGTTGGACATTAATAACATTTTTCTTTGGTGATCTTATAGATACAGTTTATATGGAACAATCACCCGGTTTGTTGCTCAGAAAGAGTCTAGTGGCCTTGTATGTCGATTGCGTCGGTTACTCTATGGTCTAATATAGTCTCCTCGAGCCTACTTTGGTAAATTTAATACAGTTACCGAAATGAATCTAATCACTCTGTGTTTTATCGGCGTTCTGGTTCAAATATATGTGTTTATCTGGTGGTTAACGCTGATGATATTATTATTAGTGGCAATGATCAAGATAGTATCACCAGTTTGAAGCAAAATTTCTTTTAACACTTCCTCACTAAGGAATCCAGCTCAAAGTACTGTATTCACAGCGGAAGTATGCCTTACATATTCTTGAAGAGACAGGAATGACGGTTGTAGACCCATGGATACTCTTATGGATCCAAATTTCAAACTTCTTCAAGGACAAGCCTCTTAGCAAACTTGCGAGATATAGGCAGCTGGTTGGTAAGTTGAATTACCTCACAGTGACTAAACTGATACTTCCTTTCTTGTGAGTGCTGCAAGTCAATTTATGGACTCTCCTTGTGACAGTCATTGTGAGGCAGTTGTCTGAATTCTTCGGTATATAAAATCAGCCCGAGGCAAAGGACTGTTGTTCGAGGATCGAGGCCATGAGCAAATCGTTGGATACACAGACGTCGATTGGGCAGGATCACCTTCTAATAGACGTTCTATGTCTGGATATTGTGTTTTAGTAGGAGGTATTTTGGTACAAGAAACAGAATATAGTTGCTCGGTCTAGTGCAGAAGCAGAATAACGAGCAATGGTTATGGCAATATGTGAGCTAATTTGGATCCACAACTGCTCAAGGAATTGAAATTTGGAAAAATCGATAAAATGAAACTGGTGTGTGATAATCACGCTGCTTTTCATATTGCGGCAAATCCGGTATTCCGTGAGAGGACTAAACCATTGAGATTGACTGTCAGAGATATTATTACAAAGTTTGTGAGGTCAAAAATATTTTCACCAAGTCTCTCACTGGTTCTCGTATTAGTTACATCTGTAACAATCTCGGTACATACGATTTATATGCACTGGCTTGAGGGGGAGTGTTAGATAGTTGTTATGTATAGTATCCCACATCAGAAAATATATGTCTAGTTTTATGTAAACAATGTATATAAATAGGTCTATTGTAAGACACTTCAGTTAATATATATCAATATAATTTCCCGTGTCATTATTTCTCACACACTTTATATAAGGACCATAATCAGATCAAATTTCATTGGTACGACGTGTGCATATATAATGTTCCCGGAGGAACCCTTAGCAGCTCTGCCTAAGAGTGTAACTCCAATAAGACTCCCACAATGTCCAAATAGTCCATCAGCCAGTCTACCATCACTTCAAACATCGAGCTAAATAAGTCTAGAAAAACAACAAAGAGAACTTCAAAAAAGGGGCAGCCGGACACTTAAATGGCACCAATTTTATAAAAGCAGCAACATAGCGTGGCTACCAGTTATTAATTTTGGGTGAGTATGCTTACCTATGCTTAAGTCAATATACATGGAAGATTCCTGGGCCTGTGTCTATCCTGTGAGGTAACATTAACATACACCCATTGACAGAAGCTGGCTCTTGCCTAGCTAAAAGAAAGCAAACAGCATATCTCGACTGGACCTAGAATACACTTCTCAACTGTAAAACGAATTTCAACTACATGAATAGTTTATCATCCTGCAACACAACCACTGTTGTGAGAAATGTACGGCCCCTCATTCTCTTCAAGGTTGTAACGATGGCTTTGATCAGCAAGCATCTAGCTAGCATATATCCTGGACGCATTAAAATCATCAAGGTTACAACTGTGGTAACTTCGTCGGAACTAATAACTTTTCTTACATGTTTCTACGCACTTAAATGTCAAATATCACTATTTTGGAGGCCATCAAAGAATATTCTGGTGTCAACAATTAACAAAAGCTTTTAGTTTCAGTAAAAGATTTACCCCATTCAGAAGAGCAGATTGAGATTTACACTATACAATTTTGAGGTAGGAGACAATTACCGAGGATTCAAGGCAAAAGATAACAACTCCTAGTTCAATAAGACCCTTAACAGTTCAAATGATTTTAAAATATAAGTGTGATAGAAATGACTAGATCCACAACATCCCCCCCCCCCCCTTTCCACCAGTGAAAATCCTCAAGCCTAAAAAGGAGATACTTAACTCTCTGGTCAGAGTACTGCTTTAATATGGTGGGAGTCATTGTTTCAAATTCAATAGCAGGTAAAACTTATTAGATGCCAAAGTTAGGTAAACAGTAAGATGCAACCATTGTAACACTAGAGAATGTACACTTCCATGTAGAAGAGTTAGATCAAGACGCGCGTAAGGAAAATATTTCAGGAATTTGTTACTTACCGCATATATGAAACACTAGAAGTTCCAAAAGGTGGAAAAGCTCGAGCAACAGAAATGGCAGTAGAATCCAAAAGCTGATGATGCCAACGGGCTGCATGGGGAACTTGGAAAGTGCCTCTAATGCTAGTTTGTTCTCTTGCTTTCTCAACGAGCATAGCCAACAGAGAGAGGCAATCAGAGTCCACAATCCCATTTCCGGATTTCAGTTCTTCCAAATTCGTTACATGTGTAACAATGCTAGCCCACTGTTCTGCAAAGCATTCATCATCAAGTAACGAAAGCAAGAGATCTAGTCGCATGCTAGTAGTGGGACTGTTGGCCTGCAAGCACCAAGGAATAAAGATTTCCTTGAAGACGTGCAAGAATTGTTTTGCTTCAGGTTCAATGCAAAAGGTCTCTTGAATTATCTTCCGCGGACCAAACATAGAGACAGCAGCCACCAGAAATCTCACTGCATTAGGGGAATCCTAAAATTGACAACAACCAATATGAGAGAATAAAAGTAAAACTGAAAGAATTTGATAAAATAGAGAAAGCAGCCACAGTAATGCTCACTGCATTAAGGGAATCCTAGAGTTTTCTTTTGCTAAAGAGGGGATCCCTTACAACCAACATAAGAGAATGAAAGTGAAATGGAAAGCAATTGGTCAAAGACAAAAAAGAATAATCGAAGCAACTATTGCCTTTTTGGCAGGTCACCTGCGGAAGAATTTCCTTTACCTATTCCCAGAGGAGCAAATACAAATGCTTCTAAATTCAATGACCAGATGGGAATGGTGAAACCACAAAAGAATCAAATGCAGATAAGATGAATTTGGGCTAACATTATTCAGGTAACTCAGTAGTGAAACATAAGGAAGCCAAGTTTCTACAGCTATAGGAGTTTCCGGACTTCCCTTGAAAGCAAATTAATTTCTAAAATAGTGTTTCAAAGAAGGCTAAGCTCTGAATATTAACTAATACAAGTAGTCAGCAAGGCTTCGAAAGCTTATGGAGACAAATTCCTCAAAGTCCATAATTGAATAGACAGAAAAGTAATATTAGAAACAGGCTTGTCAAACATATCCAAATTTCCCTTTTCTATCAATTTTTTGATCAGGAAGCAGTAGCGTGTCATTATCTGGTGCACCTCTTTTACTAGATGAATAAAACCCTAGTAGCACCAGAATTCTTCTTCTTTAAAGCCAGAACCAATTAGGAGAATCGGGAAAAAAGGCTTCTGGGGGAGAAAGATAAAATTCATTCTCAAAATGTGGGGATATTACTAATCATCTATTTTTGGATGGGTATTAATACAACAAGTTCTCACTTGCTCGGACGTGAATACAGATCAAAATGTCTAGACTTCTGGTTCGTATTTCAGGGTCAAAACTCTGAGACACTATCACAAAATCTGAAAATCTTAGACAAAGCCCCAAATGTCACCATTCACTTTAATTCATTACAAAAGTTAATCATTAGCTTAAATGAATTTGGATATACCATGACCTGCATCATAACATTCTCAGAAGAGATTAACACGGGAAAAAAGGAAAAAAAAAAAAGTAAAAGAGACACCCATAGTCCACAAGAAGGCAGTAAAAGGAAAGATGGAATACCAGCGGACACATAGAGAATGCTATACGCAGGATTCTTCATTGCTCCTCATAGGCAAAAAGTTTTTTCCTTATATAATCCTTAAGCACAGAGTCAAGTATAAGTAAAAAAGAATTATTATGTGCATATGTTCCACAATTTGATTTTATTCAAGTTGACACTTCAGTTTCCAAATTTGAAAGTGAGTCGTTGAAGTTGACAGATCCAAACGTGAACTTGAGCAAAGAAAAGCTCTTGGTAACATATTCCTAGAAGTCCAGAAAATGATTGTATAAGAGTTAATTTTCTGATGTTTCAATGAATATATGTCTCCACAGATGGTAGAGTGGGAATTATTATGAAGCACAAAACTACACTGGCAAAACTTAGAGGCTACAAGCATAAGCCAAAGCATGAGATCCTGTTTCAATTATGTTGGCAGGTTCTACGTCAACAACCCATAACATGTCTGAAAACTACAGGTCGTGTGAAGTAAATTTTCAAAAGATGTTTCAGTTAGCAGTCCCATTCCATTATAGTACGCACCAGCACCAAGACTCTCTATCTCTCTCTCTCCCTCCCTCCCTCACTGCATTTCTTTGGTGGTGGTCTGGGGGTGGGGGGCCGAGGCAGCCATGGCTTAGAGCCCAAATTATTTTCTATCATAAAACCATGACCAAAAGACTACATAACTAAGGAATAACTTACGAGTGTTTTAATCAAAGGGAATGACTTTGACAACGTTGGTCCCACCAAATAAACTAGAGGCCAAGTTTCACCTTTCCTTACTGCGTGTTGATTCAGTACTGACAAGAACTTGGTCACCCCTTCTGCATTCTCAACAGAACTGTCTGTTTGTTGAAATACACCCGAGCAGGTCTGTTGAAATGCTGAACAGAATTGCAAAAGCAAGTCAGCTTCCAGTAAAGAAAAGTCCGAAAGGATTTCAACAATGCATTTGCCAAGATCTTGCACATAACCCTCTGGAATTTTGACATTAGGTTGTCTTGATCCCTGACGAGAAGGTTGAACGCCATCATCAGAAGAATCCATAGAAGAGAAGACCCTTTCCTGGTTCTTTGAGCTGACAGAGAACAGGTATTCGTGCCACAGCAGCTTTAAGAGGATCTGATCTGTAAGTGTCTGCTGAAATCTGTGGGAATCTGCTGCATCAGAAAACCTGGAAGAGAAGCCCAAAATCAGACGAAGAAATACATATCTGAGCCCAGAAACTAAAAGAGACAAATCTCAACATAACGATAAAAAGTTGATAGGCCACAGAAGTTCAAAGGGAAAAGTTCAGTGGACTCTTCACCTATCCGTGTTTTTCAAGCAAAATAGAAAACCTTCTCTCATCGCTCTAAAGAGAGCAAGACGATCTAGATGTAATGAATAACTCAAGCTTCTTCCTGCCCACAAATTCTGAAAGAATTCAAGAAGAAACTTCTCTGTTTCAACTGCTTGTGCAGGTAAAACATCCAAGAATGATAACAGAGCAGGATATGATACTTGCTGGGATCCAAAGCAACCATTTCGAAGAAAATGCCAGAACCTACTTAAAGCAGATTTTTTAATTTTCAAGATACTCCAACTCTCTGGAAATTTTTCAGAAAACAGTAAGATCACATCCCACATTGATGAATGGCAAGAGGGATCCTTTTCATGGAAAGCTCCAAGTATTGCATCCGCGAGATGTGTAATGTCTGTTTCTTTAATAGTATGAGGAATATTTTTTATGAAACTTCTCATGACCGAATAAGTGGCTGAGCGAATAGCGGGGCTCTCAGACTTCAGAAATCCCAGAAATAACTTATGAGCAGATAGCAAGTTCTCAGCACAGGACACAGCAATGGCCTTGGCTTTAGAAGCACGCTTTGACTCAGCTACAGAAACAGACCGTTCAGGTTGTGCGCTGACCACAACATCAAGAAGGGTGGCCAATGCCAACAGTGATGAAGAAATAACCTGGAATCAATTAAAGTAAAAGAAAGAAAAGATCAAGACCAATGGGGATGAAAAAAATTGTAATAGTCAAATGTGAGAAGCGGGAAAAGTCTAAAATCTTTTGATAAGTAAGCAATTTTTCTACATCTAACAGCACCAAGGAGGTGCTGATATATACAGTGCAAAAATTCAGGTACCCAATAAATATTAAAAGGAGGCAAGGAAATCAGGCAAAGGTGTATTTTCCTTCTCATCAAGGTGCAACGGTTTTGAGATATTTCACCAAATAGTCAACATCACTACCATTGAAGCTTATATCATATTCTTCTTATAAGGGTTTTCTCTGCACATACATATTATCTATGTATCAATCTTCTACACCCTCCTCAAATCTGTATATAATGTGTATACGTTCCTATTCTCAAACATCAAACAGTAAAACACAGTAGAATCCGATACAAGTTAACAGTAAATCAGTGTTCTGTTAGGCATTGACCAAATAAGGAGAGATTAAGCTGCTTATAACCTAAGTTGCGCGGCCTCTTCATTTTTTATGCTGAACCCGTCTGGATCGGGATACGTTTGGGATTCGGTCCGGAATACGTTTGGGATTCGGTCAACCAACTTCGAATACTTTGACTAGAGTCCATGGACAAACTTTTTTGTGGGGTGGGGGTGGGATGGGGGGAAGGGAATTGAGATTTTGATTTCCCAAAATAAACGATGAAACAGATTTAAGACGTGGGATATGGCATACCTTCATTATTATAGTCCTTTTGTCTCATATTCGCTGCTTCGATATACATGTAAATTTTTCACATAATATCTCTCAAAATTTAGAATATGTTTATAGCTCTATTTTTATAATTTTGAATTTTCTTAGCCAAATCCCAGCGCCCGTATCCATACCTAGATCCGCACCTCCGAATCATAAAATTTAGATTTTGCCGAATCCCTCTCGGATCCGTACCCATATCGGATGCCCGAGTCCGATCAACATAGCTTATAACCCACACAAGTCTTGACATGACTCTGAGCACAATTGATATCAAATGAAGCTTTAGCCTGATCTAAGATCTGCATGCATAGCCATTATCCGATCATGTGTGCCAGAAAAGCCAATTATGGAATTTAAATGACTTCTTCCACAACATTTCCTCACTTCATAATGCCCCTGTAGCTGATTTTTTGATGCTCAAGGATGGAATGTATTTCTAACAAGGAACTTAAATGATTGGGAGGTTGCAAGATTTTGTGCTCTGTTACAGTCCCTTAGCACCACTGTCTTGGATCAACACAAGGATGATTCTATTATATGGAGGTACCATTCAGGTGGAATCTTCTCGGTTAAGTCTTGTTACATGTCATTGACTTCTTCCAACAGTGATCTTTGGCCTTGGAGGTATATTTGGCACAACAAAGCACCCTTGAACGTTTCTTGTTTTTTCCTGGCTTGTGGCTAAGGAAGCATGCCTCACCCAACCAATTTTTCAGAAAAAAGGAATGCAATTATGTAGCAGGTGTCTCCTCTGTGAAAAGAACCCTGAAGATACTCATTAGCTTTTTCGGCTTTTCCTATACTGCAAGATCTCTTATCAGACCTGGAGCATGGTTTTTGCCATTTCGAGCATGTCCTGGACAATGCCTCACTCCATTCTAGATTTCTTACATTGCTGGAGAAGAGATGGTCTCAATAGGAAGACACACAAGCTTTGGAACACTATTCCCATGGTCTTTTGGTGGACAATTTGGAACGAAAGAAACAGAGAGTTTTTGAAGGCGAACTTAGCAACATACATAGCCTTAAATACAAATATATTTCTTTGCTAGCTTTTTGATGCAGCATGACCTATGTAAATGACGCAGACTCTATGTTAGATATGATTGAGGCTTTTCACATTTTGTAATTTTTAACGCACTGACTTAGTGCTGTTCTAAAACAACTCTAGAGTTGTTACAATGAAACATATAATGACCTATGTTCTAAAACCAATCCGTATTCTTCTCCAACACCAATCCGTATCCACATATATTTTTAGCTTATGTGTGGAAAGTCTTCCTTTCTTTCTTAAATTTATGTGTCCGGTCAAACACTGTCACATAAGATGGGACAGAAGGACTGTATTATTCTCTTGTACATTTAAACTAGTATATTGCACTAACTCATAATATTTCAATTGGTACTCCGAAGAACGTGAGACACTATACAATGCTCTAATACTTTGGTTCATGCCATACCAGAGAATTCAACCTGAAAAAGCAGGAATGTTGTGCTGTTGGGAAGCTTTTTAGAAGCGCAATCTTGTGCTGGTGATAAGAACTGGAAAAAGATGTTTTTACTGAAGCACTTGAAGGTTCCAGGCAAGAAATTAATCTACTGAAACCTTTCATTTTTAAATGCCTTCCTCATGATAAACATGAATCAAAATATATGCAGCTTTTACGCTTCATTATACATGATTGATAGAGAATTTGCAGGAAGCAAAAAGCCAATTCAATCAACATTCATGCAGCTGATCATAACAGGAAAAATGATAATACAATCATGATATTACCTGCATGTGCATCTCTTCTAGTTCATCTGATGCCACACTCTTATCTGACATGCTCTGGGGAGTAAGCTTCAGATTTTCCTCAATGTACTTGAATATCTCCGATGTGTATAACATCAAGACATCTAGTCTCTTCTCTGGTGCTGGAAAAGCAGCCTGTTAATATTTACACAGATGGACCGTGAGGCATAGGATGAAGACTGAAACAGCTGACATTGTGCTTTATTTAGTTATATATTAACAGACAACTGAGTGAAGAAGTTGCATCAACAAAACAGAACCAAAAAAACGAATAGCATCTCCTTGATCTTTCAGATCATGCCTCAAATCCTTTCTGTGCTTTAAACCACAACATGTGGATACTCTCAGATATACAAACTTTGCTGAATAAGTTTATCCATGACCAACAGCTAAAATCCACATGGGATTGATTATAAGTTCCAAAGATTACTTAAAATTTCGTTGGATACCAAAGGCATAGATTACAGCACCTATCCATTCAGAAGAAGATTCCAACAGTGCATAAACAAAGTAGGTACCTCCGACATATCTATTTTATATGCCATGATAAGCAAGGCAGAGCTGGTCAAACATAAACCAAGTCTAACTAATACAACTTAAAGACAAAACTATTACATGAAATTAATGTATTCGTTCCACTTCACTGCGTCGATACACTATCATGTTGGTCCTCAATTGCATTTTGGTGTCTAGCACTTCCAATTAGATGAAAGTTTATTCTGTATCCTCAAGTTGCACGTGAGAGTACCATGCAATTAGTTAGTAAATCTACAATGAGGTTACTGTCTGACAAACACACGAACCTGAAATGATCTTTTTGCAGCCTGGGAAACTTCATAGACAGAATCAAACTGGGAAAACCACCATGGTCCCATCAAAGACTTCAGATAAGGAACTAAATCTCTTCTGCAAAAAGAGGAGAAGAAAAAGGACAATGAAAATCACCCAAAGTAAGGACAGGAAACAACAAAAATTTGGAAGCTATAGATGGTATCCAAAAGCTACAAATATGATCTGCGACAAAAGATTGAGAAAACTACTCATCCGCTTCAAACTAAATGGACTGATTTGAGTTGGGGCAGTTTAAAACCATAACTATGCTAGAGGTTGCAGCAAACAGCAAATTTCCAAGTTATGAATCAAGTTTCATCTACTTAAGAAGAAAGAGTTATTATTATCATGGGTATCATTTGCACCACCCAATCATTAAATGATTTAGGGGTCAATTTTAGGAAAATGCAAGTGTCTGTCAACATATTACTTAACTACCGCTATCACTGGCAGCAGGTTGCAATTTAATCTATAGAAGCTAACAAGGAGCTCAAAAAAACAAGTTTTCATTTAAATGAAGGAAAAACTGTGTGTGTGGTGTGGGTGGGTGGGTGGGTGGGGTGGGGGGGGGTGGGGGGGAGGAGAGAGCTGTAGACACGTCATCAGGGCTAATTTAGTTTGAAGAATGATGTCCATGTAGCAGAAGCAAGATATTAACTATATCTAGTTCTGATTTTAAGTAAGATAAGTACATACCCAACAATGGCAACAAGGTTTGTCATGGTGTCATGAGTTGCTCGTCGAACCTCTCTGCTGTAATCCAGTAGCAACTTCTTGTATTCAAATGCCTATCAGGAAGAGCAGGGGAGTAAGAACCACTTAAGAGACTGATAACTAGTAATTCTTCCACCCGAACCATAAAAAATCTAGAAACATACTCCATAGTTACAACAATCCAACACTCAAAATGTAAATAGTGTCATTAAAGGCTCGCCTGAGCGCTTAAACTTAAAGCTAGGTAAGATGCAAGTTAGGTTCTCCACCTCGTTCGACAATTCAGAGTCGGCACCAAGGCAATACAGCATGCACCTGACCGCTCATGGACTCTTTTTCTTTGAAAGCAGCAGTATACGAATGAGCATATCTAGAAATTTTCATTTTTTTGAAGACCCTGTCTAGAAATTTAAATTGTTTTCATCTGAAACAGAAACTTATAACGATTGTTGAACTTAGTTGACCTGATTCTTATTTCAAATAATCACTTCAATAGGGAACTTTCTTTAAAAGGAGGCCAAAATCTTTTTCCACCAATGGCAAAATATGCAAGATAAGATATAGCACAGCCAATGCCTAGACATTGTACAATTAGGGTATTGGCCAGCAACTAGGAAAGAGAAGTGAGCATACCCACTGTGGGATTGTTGGTATTATATCCTTTGCAGTCTTTTGTTGGAATAACTGAGATAGAGATGCCAATGCTTTCAGCTGTTAGAAAAGAGAGGAATTTTAATGAGCTTTCTCAAAAATGAAAAATTAAAGCATCAACGAACTACAGGCAAGTCCAACAATGAAACAAAAAAAATTAGAAGAACAATGAATATGCAGGTTGCTTCCTAATTCACATCTCTCAAGGAACCAATATTGTCCAAACTGCATTCTAAAAATTGAATAAGAAACGAAATTACTTTAGTGGTAGGGTCCTTTCTGGCAAGCCTCTTCAAGTGTTGTGCAACTTCACTGTCAATATCCTACAAACAAATATGCCATCATAATTAAGAGTGGAAACACTATCACTTTTTTTCACTTATAAAAAAAGGGTAGTCCTTGTGGGTCGGCCTTGCCATTTGGATAAGCGGCAATTAATCAATCAAATTCAGATAAACCATCAATTAGGATGCTTTCGAATTTTGTTAAAGAAAAAATAAAGCTCGTAAATTGCAGAATCTAGTGCCCATTAATATAGTTTAAAATTCTAACAATGAAAAATACCAAAACGCATATAATTTTCAAGTGTAAGAGAAGTTAAATTAGAGTGTACCAAGAAAGGGGGAGAATCTTCAGTTGACAAAGAAGAGTCAACACGGGAAGTGCCCATATAGCCTCCGAATCCCACAGGGGTAGAACCTTGGGGCAGTAACGAAGCAGCAAGACTGCATTCAAACCCAAACAATTACAAATACTAAGAAAACGAGCATAACAAGGGAACGAAGAGAATGAAAAAGGAAGAAAGAGGGGACCTGCTGCTAGAGGGGCGAGACTTGCTTCTAGCTCCATCTCCTTTCGGTCTCCCCATTATTCTTCTACCTTCTTTGGATCATACGTTAGTTGATTGAGGGAACGCCGATCACAGAGCTCAGAAGCTCTGCTCTTACCTGAGAAGGACGAGGGACTGCGCCTCTTTTGGGCCGTAATTCACTATATATGTTCGTCGTCTCAAACAAGGAAAAACTATTTTGGTCACCGCCTTTTGCCTATGTAGGTGTTTTTTTTTTCGGCCCCTCCCAATCGTATAGTTGCCCTCCAATATTTTCTTTCGCTCTCCATTTATTTATTTGTGTGATTTCCTCTTCAAATTAACGACTCTTTCTTAAAACTTTTTGGACATACCACCCAACTATTTCTAATTGTTTTCAAGAATTCTACATCACTAATCAAACTATCAACAAACTAAAGCAAATTTATTAATACAATTTATAACTATGCTTGTATAGGTAAATAGGTTTACATTAAGTATTTGAATGACAAAATGATACGTGGAACCGGAAAAAGACGGAAGACGAAGCAAATGGAAGCCAAAACCGAGGGCAACAACTTGGGTTGACATCGGGTAGACCCCGAAGGGAACATTGTCAACGAGGGCAAACAAATATTTGCTGACATTCAATGAAGCATATTCATCGGCATTAAATCCACATCTGTTAGAGAGAATTTTGGCATTCATAGTTTGTCGTTGCATATTCATCAATGGCCCATATTATTGTCATTTAAGAGGGGCTTGATTCTAGGACCGTGTTACCTAGGTATAACCATAATAGTGACTTCAACAGCCAGTGTAACACACGAAAATTCTAACAAACTTATGTTACACATTATTCCAAGCTAAATAATACTTTATTTTCTATCTAACGATATTCTTATTGCTGCCTAAGGAAGCCTTGCTCCCAGAACCAAGTTGTCTGCTATTTTATCTCGATTTCTACGTTGAGTCTTGCATTTTAATTAATCTACTTATTACTTTGGGATCAAATGGATTCGCTTGTCTATAGACCACACTACAAATTCAACTGTACCGTTTTACGGGTAAACAGTCTGGCGCCCATTGTAATTGAGTTGATCCTTGCATCTAATACTAATCTGTTTTATTGTTTGTTTCTAAGCAAAAATCGTAAAAGATAGCAGTTAACGATGACAACATCGCACATAACGTTGAGGCCCAAGAAAATTCGCCTCGACATGAGGATTAGATTAGCGACACTTGCAACGAGGAGGACGCAGCCACGCCAGTTCGTGTCATGGTTCATGACGGGCGATACCCATGACACGAACGTGAGGCGACTCCTGATGATGCCGAAGACGAGCACATTGTAGAAACGATGAGGGTCTTGAGAGAACAACAAAAGGCCATCATGGGCCATCTCTCACGACAAGACCAGGCCATGACAGAATTAAGGCAAGCATTGTCGGGTGCTTCCAACAACGCGAATGGAGGAGGTCCAGTTCCTCCTGGTGCTCCCGCTAATCAAACAGCCTAAAGGGTTGATAATAATACCCCGAGGGGTGATGTCGGCTTCTATGGGGCGGGGGGATCGGTAGCGGATCTGGTAACAACAACAGTAATGATCCCTTCGAAATCGAGCTCATGCGGTTTAAGAGGGAAATAAACGGTGAATGGAGTAAATTCTGGGTGCACTGCCAGTATTGAAGGGACCGAACTCAAAGAAATACATCCAATTGTCGTTCAAACCGAGCGCGGCACCTTAGTTAATTCTGAAGCGATTCGAAATGCTGAATGTACCAAAATATGATGGGACTTCGAACCCACGGGAGCACATCACCACCTATACAACGGTGGTGAAAGGAAATGGCTTGGCTCCACACGAGATTGAGTCGGTCCTGCTGAAGAAGTTCGGAGAAACCCACACAAAGGGGGCCTTGGCATGGTACTCACTCTTACCCTAACACTCAATAGATTCCTTCGAAATGCTCGTAGACTCTTTCACAAGGCCCAAGTTGGGGCCAGGAAGATACAGGCCTAAAAGGCAGACATAATTAGAATTGCGCAAGGAGAGTCCAGATTGCTGCGTGATTTCCTGACCAGGTTTTAGAAAAAAAGGATATTGCTACCGGTCATGCCAGATGAATAGGCAACTAAGGCATTTACTAAGGGGCTGATCCCGAGGAGCTCCAACGCCTCCCGAAAACTGAAAGAAAGCTTGCTTTAGTTCCAGGAAACTACATGGACAGATGTCCATAACCAATACGAGTCAAAGATAAGAATAGAAGATGATCAGCTCGAGTTCCTGGCATCAAACAAGGGTCGGGATCGAGAAAGGAACGGGGATAACTTAAAGGATGATTTGATGCAGATCGGCAAAAAAGACAAAGGTATCAGTGACTCATAGTAAGAGACTCCGAGAAGTCGTCGAGGACGACATCACCTTTACAGAGGAGGACGCTGATGGACTTCTACTACTGCACAACGATGCCCTGGTGATCTCTCTTAACGTTTCGGATTTTAAAATTAAACATGTTTTGGTAGACCTAGGAAGTTCAGCCAATGTTAGTCAATGGAGAGTGTTGGAGCATGCCAAGCTAACCGGAAGCATCATTACGGTAATAAAACTCCTCGCCATGTTCAACTTAGCAAGTGTGACAACCCGAGGGGAGATCTTGCTGCCCATGAATGCCAAAGGGGTCATGAAGACTACCATGTTTGAAGTAGTAGATGGCGACATGGGCTACAACATAATTCTTGGCAGACCATGGTTACACGAGATGAAGGTCGTGCCATTAACATATCACCAACTTCTTAAATTCCCAACTCCACAGGGAATCAAACAAATAAGAGGAGATCAACCGGCGGCAAGGAAAATGAATGAGGTCTCGGTTTTCAATAGTAAAGGGAAAGAGCACGCGACATAGAAATTACAGGAACCGGCACCTGCTCCTGAACCAAACGAAGACGACAAAGGGGAGGAGTCGTCATAATCCCACTAGGTACCAAGGTATTTCCAGGTACCGGAAGAAATGGACACGACCAAATCCATGACAGAAGAACTCGAACAAGTGGCATTGTTCAAAAATTTCCTAGAGAGTAAGTTCCACTTGGGGACAGGACTAAATCCCGAGCTCAAGTCAGGATTTATAGAATTTGTTAAAACTAACTTTGATTGTTTTGCATGGTCGCACGCGGATATGACAGGTATCCCGCTAGAGGTGGTCATGCATAAGCTAAGCCTGGACCCCAGCATCCTGCCGGTAAGGCAAAAGAAATGCCCAATTGCCGAGGTCAGAAACAGGTTTGTTAAAGAAGAGGTAACTCGATTGCTCGATATCGTTCAATCCAGGAGGTAAAGTATCCCGAATGGCTAGCTAACGTAGTAGTAGCTCTAAAAAAGAATAATAAGTTCTGTATGTGTATAGATTATAAGGATCTAGATAAGGCGTGCCCAAAAGACTCGTTTCTATTGCCAAACATTAATCAAATTATTGATGCAATGACCAGACACGAGTTAATGAGTTTCATCGATGCCTATTCCGGGTACAACCAAATCAAGATGAACCCGGAGGATTAGGAAAAAACTTCGTTCATAACGAACTTTGGTACATATGGCTACAATGTGATGCATTTCGGGCTTAAAAACGTCGGAGCCACTTATCAAAGGCTCGTGAACAAAATGTTCGAAAAGCAAATAGAGAAAACAATAGAAGTCCACATAAATTATATGCTGGTTAAGTCTTTGAATGCAGATGACAATTTGAAGCACCTCCACGAAACCTTCGATATCCTATGAAAGCACAACATGAAGCTCAACCCCAAAAAGTGTACGTTCAGAGTTAGCTCCGGCAAATTCCTAGGGTTCCTAGTGTCACAAAGGGGTATCGAAGTAAATCCCAACAAGATTAAAGATATCGAGAACATTCTAGACCAGTTGACAAACGTGAAAGAAGTCCAAAGACTAATCGAAAAACTGGCCGCTCTAAGCAGGCTGATATCTCGGTCCTCGAAAAAATGCCATCACTTCTTCTCACTTATGAAGAAGAAGAACAATTTTGAGTGTACTCCAGAATGCCAAGAGGCTCTGAAAGACCTGAAACGGTATCTATCAAGCCCTCCATTACTATCAAATTTGGAGGAAGGCAAATAGTTGCTAATATACTTAGCGGTCTCGGAGGTAGTGATAAGTGCCATTTTAGTCCGGGAAGACAAAGGTACGCAATTTCCTATCTATTATGTTAGCAGAATTTTATCGGGGGCGAAAACTCGTTATCCGCACCTTGAGTTTACTATTTGATTAAAGATTCGATCTTTATCATTTGGATTTATTTTCTATGACATTATTTGATGTTTTTGAGTACCTTTTAGCTAGTTTCAGGCCGTTCGAAGGTTGGTTTGCAAGATGGAATTTTAGGGTATTATTTTAGCTTTTTCAGTATTGGTTTGACTCAGAATTGAGGGTATTATTTTAAATGTGTTGGGGGTGACGCACGTGCTAGGTGATAGGCGTGTGTGCGTACACCTGGGTACTCATGATCCGGGTAGTTCTTAGGCTATTATATGCCATTGTTTTGCTATCATGCTTCTTTGATATCATATTTGCTTCATGTGTATGACTATGTGGGTTATTATTCATGCTAGAAATCATATCTAGACCACCTGCCTAATTGTTTGAGACATGATATGGCTACTTTTTCCATGTTGGGCTAATTGCCTTAGCCGTAGTAATACTATGCAGCCATGATAGTTACATCTGCATGTTATATCTCTATCTCTGTGCACTTCTGACATGCTGTCTCACATATTATTGGTGTCCTTGTACGTGACATAAGCTTAAATTGTATTTGTGGCACATTGTGATATTTCATGTTATATAATTTCATTAAGTTTTTGCGAGATGTTGGCGTACAGAGACTTGAGCGAATTGATGACTGATGTAGGTCATAGAGTCGTATTGTGAGTTATGTTGGATCGGGTTGCACGCCGCAACAGGTATATTAATGTTGAGGTGATGCATACGCCAGGCCACATATTGGGCTAGGTGGTACTGATTTCGAGGCTACGCATGCACTAGACCCCACTATTGGGCTATGTGATTTTGATTAGCGTTTCGGCTAGGATCTGCCCCTCTGGAGTCTGACATGCCAGCAGTGAGCGCAGACACAGTATATATATATATACACACACACACACACACACGCACACATACATATACGTGCTTTGGTGAGGGGTATTTATGCCAGGCACCCGTACAGTGCTGAGTGTAGCTGTGTGTGATGATGAGGGGCCTTGTGCCAGG